ACGCTCACACCTTTGTGTCCCCTTCAGGGTAACGGAGCTGCTCCCGCCCTTCCAGAGGCTCATCCAGCCGGAGGAGATGTGGCTGTACCGGAACCCGTACGCGGAGGCCGACTACTTCCCAACCAAGCCGATGTTTGTGCGTGCGGAGCGGAGCGGCCTGCCTTGCGGCCTCCGGGCTCCTCCCGAGTTCAGTGCTAGGGAGCGGGAGGCGCTCACACTGGCTCCCGGATGCCCCGTGCAGGGGACAGCACTGCTCCCTCCGCTGATGTGCTGCTGTTTAAGGCCCAGATTTAGGGAGCAAGACGTCAGTCTGTTTTGCTTAAGAGACAGGTTCTGTGGGCGAGGTTCCTTAGGGCGGTGCTGGGTAACTGGTCGTTTAGAACAAGGGTGATTGGTGTTCACCGGTGGGACTTTGAGCCCAGTCAGCCACAGACACTGGACACTGCGTTTGGAGGAACATTTAGGTGTGATGTGTGAGCTCTGCTGTCACTTCATCCCTCTTCCCCTAAGAGCTCTTTTCACAACTAGTTGTGCAGAGTTTTCTGTGTGGTTTTCTTTTGTTTTAACCTTGGATGTATTCTGGTTCAGGTCATTGCATTTCTCTCTCCGCTGTCTCTGATCCTCCTGGCCAAATGTCTCAAGAAGGCAGACACGGCAGACAGCAGACAAGCCTGCCTGGGTAAGAGCCCAGCCCTCCTGGCTGGTGTTCTCATCTTTGGGCTGGAAAGCAGCAGGGGCGGTGGGGTCCACCCCAGGGTTGCGGCCGCAGTGTGTGGCCCCTGAGCTCTGTGTTCCTAAAGTAATTGTGTCCCCACCTGTTACCCTGTGAAGCAGAGAAACTGCACTGTAAGAACTGGCTTCGCCTCCTACGAGTGCTTTAACGCACTGGATTATTCGTACCTCAAGGATGTCTTCAGTCTAGTACAGGAGTGCTCCCTGAACCACAGCCGACTGGTCATCGAGGGCCAGAATTATTTGTACACTCAGCTCAGCCCTCATCTCAGAAGAGCCGGGCTGCTCTCTTAACGTGACAGGGACCATGCAGTCCTAGCAGATACCACGAACAGCAAGTCTCTTTGCCTTCCAGCTGCCAGCCTTGCCCTGGCCCTGAACGGCGTCTTCACCAACACGATAAAGCTGATAGTGGGGAGGTAAGTGACAAGCGCCAGCCACCGCACCAGCCTCATCCCATCCCCACCAGGAGAGGTAGTTAAGGGCACTCTACCCACACCGTTCCCCGCTCCTTTTCTCTTTCTTCTGTCTCATCTTTCTTTTCTCATTTAACACTTCCTCCCTTCCTCTACCTCAGTCCCACAGGTGACACTTGGGCTCTTTTCTGCCTTGGGCAGCATTTTCCACTGACACACGGCAGAGCCACTGTCCTCCAGGGCACCCCCGGCAGCTGCGGTGTGACTCACTCTTTGCCCTAAAAGTTAATCGTATCACAGTGAACTTTTTTCCCCCCAATTTTAAATACTGACCCTGGAAGCAAGGCTTTTCTTTTAGTGGTGACTATCCAGTTCAGTTTCATTATTTTGCCAGAGACACTATTTGACCAACGGTAAATAGGCTTATTGACACAACACAACCGAAAAATAATTTCGGGAGCTGTAAATGATCCCTGTTCAGACCCTGCTGATTTCTTCCAGGCCACGCCCGGACTTCTTCTACCGCTGCTTCCCCGACGGGCAAGCCCGCTCTGACCTGATGTGCACGGGGGATAAGGATGTGGTGAACGAGGGCCGGAAGAGCTTCCCCAGTGGACATTCTTCCTGTATGAGCACCACCTGGGCTCTACTTCTGTGCTTTTTGGGGGGG